ATGATTGTTCATCTCTGATATATATATATATATATATATATATGACATTAATGCTATGATTCAAGTATGCTATATGTACCCGGACCGGAGGTTCCTTAATGGAACTGGCACGTTATCTGTACCTGGCTGGAGGTTCCTTTATGGAACTAGCAAGTTATCCGTACTCGGCTAGAGGTTCCTCTATGGAACTGACAAGTATGATCTATGATGTTCTGTATATGATCTGTTAGCGTTAACGAATGAACTATGAATGACCAAGTATGATTCCTGAATTATATATATATATATGCATTGAATGAGGTCACGAATATGAATTGGTTCTACGCACGGACTTAATTATGGGACATCATTCATTTAACCCTTTACTCTGTTATTATTCACTAGGCTCCCGCTCACTATTTATTTTATATATGTAGGTGATCAAGCACGTGATCAGGCTCAGAGTTGAGGACCTGGTGACTCAGTTTTTTGTCAGCCAGCCTTTGTGCCTCCCGAAGAGGTTCCTAATCAAGTCATGTTTAGAGGCTGTGTTTTTGTGGATGTCTAAGACTTAATTTTTTTTGACTTACAAAAAGGTTTTTCTGTTGTATGTGCATGAAGTGGCATAAAAATACTGTATTTTAGTTTTAAGATTTAAAATCATCTATCCCATGTACGTTTTCACAGCTCAATGGACAATTTTTATATATTTGCTTCTGCAGCCCCTAACTATATGTTATCCTGTTAAGAGACCTTTGGTAATTCAAGGATTACTGGCCAGTTACGACGCTAAACCTATAGGGACAGGTTTGGGTCATGACATAGACAAAACCAAACATACATCATAATAGTAAACGGTTTTTTGTCCATTAAGCTGTGCTTACATGGCATACTGAAACATTTTCCACATATGTAATAATAACTCACACCATAAACCAAAACAAACATCTTGTTCATCTAGGATCATACAAACATATAGCCAGCCAAACAAAAGGTCTACATGCATAGGTGATCCAATGTATCCATCAAAATAGAAAAAAAAGGGTAAAACAAAAGAACAAAAATAAAGTCTCATGCGTGAGACGTTTGGGCTGACTTAACAAAAACTTAGATTTCCCTAACATCCTTCACTGAGGTTGGGTTTGGACGTCTTTTTGCTCACCTACGTACCTATAAATAAGGGTGAGTGAAAGCCTAGTGAATAATACCAAAGTAAAGAGGTTATATGAATGAAATTCTCTAATAGGTGATATCCTTGTCAAACACATCAAACGACCTTAGGCCCATTCATATTTTTATCAAATATATCAAACGGCCTCAGGCCCGAATATATCAAACGACCTCAGGCCCAATTCATTCTTATCAAATAGCCTCGGGCCCAATTCATTCTTAACAGACGGCCTCAGGCCCAATTCATTCTTAACAAATGGCCTCGGGCCCAATTCATTCTTAACAAACGGCCTCAGGCCCAATTCATTCATGTCAAATGGCCTCGGGCCCAATCATCGTATCAAACGGCCTCTGGCTCATTATTTTCACGTTCATATTTGTGCGCATTTCATACTTGGGTTCATAATCATATTCATACTCAAATGACCTTGGGCCCAATGCATTTGTATTCAAATCAACAAATCCATGAAGCTTATACAGAAGTAGCATTTGGAAAAATATCATACTTGAAAGTATCTTTACTAAGATATTACTCACAGTGTTCTGCCGATGGATTTGCCCTCGTGCTTGACCCTACACATTTCATAACACATTAGGTCACAAACAATTCAATCCGTTCTTAACTTATTTATTTCTCTTAGGCTTCTTTTTTTTATCCCTTTAGTTCATTTATAATGCTCAATACATGCCTAAGAATGCTTAGAAATGAAAAAGAACGGAAAACAGAACATAAAACAACTTTTCAAAATTTCCTGAAACAGGGCTCTCCGGTCAAGCGCAGCTTTGGTTGCTCGAGCGGTCTGCAAACTCTATAAAAGTACTGGTTCCATGAATTTTAAGCTTGAGCGAGACTTCTGCCGCTCGAGCAAGTAGCCTTGCAAAATAGAGTTTACTCGAGCGCAATGTTTGCCACTCGAGCCACAGTGCAAATCTCTGTAAAACTTCTAGGAGCTTAATTTTCACGCTCGAGCAAGACTTTCTTAGCTCGAGCGGACAGGTCGAATTCTGAAATTTTCATAATTTTGTTTGAGCTCCAAAGACACATTCAAAGGTTCAATTTCATGCTAAATTCACTCAATTTATGCAAGAATACTCCCAAATTCATATAATTGAAGATAACTTCATCCATAATTCAAAATTCCATGAATTTAACAAATTTCAAACCATAAGCTACATCTATATACATTCTATGTTTTGTATCTCACATGGACAAACTTCAAGGCTTGAAATTAAGCTTCAATATATGAAAATTCTTACATGCATGTGCCAAACAACCCTCAATACAACATGATCAACATGTTTCATATTCAAATATGCAAAATTATGGCCAATTCTTACATGCATGCATCTAATGATCTCAAATTTATTAAACTTAGCTCAATTCATGTATTTAGTTCCATATATACATTGAATTCACACTTATGTGAACTTAAACTCATAATTTAGAGTTTAATTGCTCACCTAAAAGCTTCAATCTTCTCAATTGGACTAGTCTTTCCGGGTTCAAATCCCGGGCAACCCATTGTCATATCGAAGTTATATGTCTAGAAATTCATATTCTATTTTTGCAACTCACTTAATTCATTTACAAAAAATTCTGATAGATCTAGATAGATATTGGTTGACACGGGCATATAAGTTATGTTATACTATTGAATAACAAGCCTTTCATTTTTCTATTTTATTTATGAAAATTCATGTGCTTGGGAGTCCTTGATGATTAAATAAACCAAGATTTTACCATGACTGCAATCTTAAAGAGACGCAAAAGTGAATGCCTATGGGGTCGCTTCTGTAACTAGATAACTAGCATTGAAAACCGTCTTTACACTGGATGGTTTGGTGTGTCTTTGAGCCTAACTCTTCAAATCTTCTAGTTTTGAGCTCAAATCTCTATTTGTGTGGCCTCTCTCTCTCTCTCTCTCTCTTGAATCGTCTCTCTCTCTCCCTCTACACACTTTTTGGCTGATTTTCTTGAGTTCGTAACATGAGCTTAAGCCCATTTTAACACACACATCTATACAATGGCTAATTAAATCACTAATCAAGGCTTAATGTTAATTAACTAAAATGAATATAATTAAATTAATCTAATTATTTTGATTTGAATCAATATTTAAATCAAATTTCACCATAGTCTCTAAAAATCACGCTAATCACCATGGTATAGGTAATTCCAGTTTCTGTCGCCTCCATGGCCGTCAATTCAATCTTATAGTAAAAAATTAGACAGATTTTCCTACGACAGATATAGATTCAAAAAAATAATTATCACCCAAAATCATAATAAGCGCATAATCACAATCATAATTAAGGTTAATTAACATAACACAGAGTAGGGTTATCACAGGCTCTCTTTAAAATTTGGACCAGGATGAGCCATAGGCTAGAAAATTAGGCCTAGGCCCAGGGGGTATTCGGGCCTTAGGTGGGCCAAGCCTCGGGCTCGAGGCTTGGGCGAGGCTTAGGCAGGCTTGAACATTTTTTTTTTCCACCAAAATTTTATTTTTTTCTACCAAAAATGATATTTGGCCTCGAGCGGGCCAAACCTTGGGTCGGGCTTTAAGCGGGCTGCTGGGCAGGGCCTATGGGCTAGGTCGAGTTTCAAAATGATGGCCTAGGCCCAGCCCAAGGTCCCGAGCTGGGCTTGGACACGAGCCTAACCAGGCTTAATCGAGCCGGGCCCACTCCAGGTCGCGGGACATTTTTACACTCCTAATGGCCGCGAAGATCAGTCTGACGATCAGTTCATGCTTGTGAAGATTAGTCCAAAGATCAACTCGTTGTCTAGGTCAAGATCTGACACCCCCCCCAAAAAAAAAAATTAGACTGGTAAAAAAAACTACCACACATTATTTAGCAAGAGTAATATTAGAGATCCCAAAATTTTTATCAAATTTTTTACCAAATGTCTTACATGCCAAGTGAGACATTGATAAAAAACTTGGTAAAATTTTTGAGATTTCTAACAACTTAAATCTGTAATCTAACAGTTATACCAAACAAGTAAACAACTTTTAATTAAATTTATAATCCGTTAAGCTATAAGTTATAATTTGTTTTAATAGTCGCACCAAACACCCCTAATAAAGTCCCCGTGTTCTTGTATTCTTTATTCCTTTTTTGGAAGGCTGTTTGGTATGGGACTAAAATGAGATTGAGGGCTAAAATAGTTACAAAAAGATTAAATAAGTTAAAAAATTAATAAAATAAAATATTATATCCAAATTATAATTATTTCATTTTTTCTCTTATAAAAGTCAAAAAACTAAAAACTCCAACCCAAATGATGTTTTTAATTCCAAACTAAAATAATAAAAAAATAATAATTAAAGAGACAACTCATTTTTCAAACGAAACCATAACAGCCTCAAAGGGTACAGTGCTTTAATAGGACAAAATTTAAATAGAGGAAATGAGGCTCCTTGTTCATTTATAGTCTATTATTTCATAGTTCAAAACATCAAAATGTCATTCACACACAGTAACACTTCCCTGAATTGAAACTGATAGGATGAAAAAATTCCTCGTCATCCATTTGCTGGAATTTAGAAAATTCCTCGTCATCCGTCTCACTTAGCCTAAGCATATCTCCCAAAAAGACTTTCTTGACCATATAGGGCTCTTGGTAATTGGAATCTTCAAGTTTAACCAACAAAATCAAGAAATTCCCAAAGGACAAACATTAGCAATCTTCCTTCTAGCAAAAGAGAAATTTTACATTACAATTTTATTTCACCAATCATTAAGGCCATATTTGTTTGAGTGGACATAAGCTTGGGATTGGACTAATAGTCCAATAAAATTATTAATCCGATATTTAGTTAAACAATTAAAGTACGGACTAATTATTTTAAACTTGACTATTAGTTAAGATAGGATACATAATCTAATAGATTCGTAGTCCTAGAACTATTAGTCATGAGAATGCTAATCCAGTCCATCCAAACAAACATGGCCTTAATCCCATAACTAAACAAACATGGGATATATATCCTATCCAACCAAATAGTCCCAGGATTATGAATCTAGGATTACAATTCAATGGATTCCAATCTCTCTATTATTTAATCCGTCCAAACAAACATATCCTAAGTTTCCACTTTGAAATGTGGTCACTAAAGAAATAGGGTTTCAAAAACTAGTCCCAACACAAATTAATGTTGAAAGAGCTCAAAGCTTTCATTGCCTCCTCTATCTATTGCTTCCTCATCGCTATTATCCCTTCAATAAGTGAATAACTAACATATAAGAGAAACGATGAAAGTAAAAACTGCCCACACATCTCTTCGAATTTCCATTCCGAAATCATTCTTTTGACTCCGCCAATGAAACACACAGCATTGAGTATGATTAGTATTGCCAAGGGGATCACGAACTTCCCAGCCCCTTCAAAGTTAAATTTACCCTTCTCGTATCTCTTGACCTTCTCTTTGTCGACTGCTTTATTCGACAGCCTAAAACCTCCTTTCCCTAATCCCAGTAAATTGGTTACGGCGTCAATGCATCCAAACAGTAGAGCTGTGACAGACTGTATCATCCATATTCTATATTCATTCCAACATATCTTTAGTGATCCACCGGTGCTGAGGACCTCATATAATTGCTCAAAGATAGAGGAGGCGAAAATGGTTGCAAATAACCAGAACCAAGGGCTTGTAACCTGATAAGACAACAATTGATAAAGTGAGATTGTATTTTATTTCCATTGATCTACAAAAAGAGAAGTAATATTTTATTAAGAAATAAACATATTACAGAAGCAATAAATTTGACAAAGTGTATTTATATTTGTTATTTTTTTTAAAAGAAAAAAAATTGGTGGGGGTTTGGTTGTTGTACTCAATTTAATAAAAGCTTATTAAAGCAAAATATTGAGCAATCACAACACCGTAACCATTCTAATGACAGAAATACTAAGTGCACAAAATTAAAACACAAAAAATACATTGTTTGATTGATGTTCGATTTGAATGTGATGTGGGCCACACTTGAAATAGTATCTCAACCACACAACACATTTTATGTGCTTTTTTTGTGTAGTAAAATAGATATTTGAACTAAGATGAAATGTCAATAAAATAGATATTTTGACACCACCACCACCACTACCAAACTCACGAAAGAAAGTTGAAAACGGAAAAGATGTGGGAATTACCTTGGGGAACAAGGGTCCAAACTCACGAAAGAAAGTTGAAAACGGAAAAGATGTGGGAATTACCTTGGGGAACAAGGGTATGCCGCTGAAAAAGCACAACAGAGGAACAGTGCCATATAATAGCAGAGCGGGGCAGTAAAGAGGGATATACATGAAGTAGCAGTAGCACATGCACTGTAAAATAGGCATCCTTGACATCCCATATGTGACCGGGTTGAATCTCGAAAGCCCGACTTGTAACAATCCAGAAACCCATTTCAGGAGCTGAGATGAGAGGTCCTTCAAATCAGTTGGGGCACAACCCAAGAATGCTGGTCTTTTTGGATAGTAGTAGACAGAAGTCCACCCTCTACAATGCAAAAGATACCCCGTGAACGAGCTCTCCAACAAAGAAGCGTAAGAGAAACCGATCTGTAATGTATATATGCAATCAAAATTACTATGAATTTAGAATCGTCTCTCCAAATTATAACATTGTTTGAGAGCTAGCAACATAAAAATAATTAACGCATTGTTTATTTCGGCAAAAAACAAAGTCTTCCACTTTTAAAAGTGAAAAACATTTTATGCCTGAATAAGCTTGTTATCCGTTGATCATGGATAATGTTTTCCATCGTATCAAATGCTAAAAATGTGAAAAATGTTTTTTTTTTAAATATTTTTCGCCAAAACAAACAAAGAGTAAATGATTAGTGAAGATACTCGCCTCTTTTCCCCAATTTGTGTTTTGTTCAAAGGTGCATGAGGCCAAAACCCTAGCCTTCTCTAACTTGGCATTGTATGAGATTGAGTGTCCATCAGTCTCTTCTCCAATAATACTAGACATGCCTGAAGAGAAAAATAAACAAATGCAATTGAGACTCGAACAACATTAGTATTTATAATTAAATTAGTAACATACAACTATTAAATTAGTGCCATACAGTTTTTATTGGGAGTTCCAAATAGTGCCTTTTTCTTCATGTAATAGCCAGTTCCAGACAACAACGGACCTCTTAGGCCATCCATGCCATGCCATTGTGACTGAAATTGGGACAAAAATAGGGATAATTTTTTTTGTTAGTGATCAAGAGGGTATGTTCAAGACATGAATGTCCTACAAAAGCTTTTACAAAAATAGGTATGAAGGAACAAAAGTTGGTTCCTCACCTTGTATGTTGTTCTTCCTTGGGCGTCGTAGATATCATCCTTGCCTATATTGTAAAAAGTTTGAGGGTATTGCACAAAAGCAAAAGTTTGAGACATCTTTGGGTCAAGATGAAAACACATTGCTTGACGGGCCGAGGTTGCTTCATTGCAGAACATATCACAATCTAACACCATCATGTAGGGGGCATTGCTCATTAATCCGGATACTCGAAGCTACAAAACAGGATTGCTACTTGTCACTCACAGAGAGAGAGAGAGAGAGAGAGGAATATTCGGTACATACAAGTGCATTGAGGGCTCCACCCTTGTATCGATGAGGGTATGATGGTCGTCTTTCTCGAGATACATAGACAAGCAAAGGTAACTGCGCTTGGTCATTGTTGTCATGTAATATCTACATCATATAAACAATTAATCAAAATCATAAATCAAGTTTTAACTTCATAGTTTCACACACTATTAGATAGAAAGAAGATGCCTACATGACACATAGCTCTCCTTATAGCATTATGCAATTTATTTTATTTTATTATTTTTATAGAGAAGAAGTATTCACATACTTTGTTTGATAATTAAAAGCAATTGGCATCACACTTCCTGTAATAGATTCATTTTATGTCTACATTTCCTCATATTAGTTACCCAAAAATATCTCAAAATAAATTAGTCATTTGATTTGTTTTTATGTGCAAAATGGCATGATGGTATACTAATTAAGAATTCATTCTTAATTTGAGTGTTTAGCTCTCTTTATATTCACAAAATAAAGTAAATTGCTAGCAAGCTACATACCTCGATGTAAGGGGGTCGATCTGGCACAATAGTATCTTTTATTTCCCCCTGTTCACGAGCTTTTTCCACATTCTTCTTGAATTGTTCATATAGCGACTGCACAAATGATAAAGTTAAAGAGTCATGTTTGATGTTTCTAGTAAATAAGATAATGCCGTGTAGTGATGATGACAACAACAGCAATAAGCATGATGTTATTTTCTATTACCTCTAATTTTATTTTATTTTATTTTATTTTATTTTATTTTATTTTTTTAACTGTCATTGGGTGGATGGAAAGACCAAGGAAAAGTCGAGTGCAACCAATATTAAAGTAATGCTGTTTTCCAAGAAAATGTGATTCATGTAGGACGTAGACCAATATTTTGGCGGTGAAATAAGATTTGAGCCTTAACAAAGTCTCTTATTGACAATAACAACAATGCTATGACAATCAAAAACAGGGGAAAAAACCCAACGACAATAGATCCACAATTTTAGAACCCCTTCATAACTTTTCACTAGATCCACAATTCACAAAATCAAAAGTTGGAAAACATGTTGTGTCCATCCCCAATTTCAAGCCTATCAGAAATCAAGAGCCATATCATAAATGCACCTATGGTTCTTTACAAATAGTAGTTTATGAGCTATGCTAAGAATACGTAAGATTTTTACAGAATGTGACACAAATGTGAGACAAAGGTGTAGGACCCACAAATATCGGGTCCACATGTGAGGCTTAACTTTTGTCTTATATTTGTGTTCCATTCTTTGAAAATTTTTTGTGCACTTAGAGTTTCTCATAGTTTATATAGATAATTTGGAGTGTTATATAGATAAAAGATGTTGGAAAAAATGGTTTTTTGGTGACTTTAATTAAATATTAAAGTGGGTCCCAACCATCTATTGTGTTAGATCCAAGTGGGTCTAGATACTTTGCAATGAGATCTTTACACCAAAAATAGTATAGCCAAAACCATTGAAAATTGAATGAGAAATTGCCCCATGAAGTTAGATTCATGAAAGAGTTAATGAGGTTTGTAACTTCTGCCTTTATTGCAGAGTTTAATAGTGCATTAATGGAGTTTGTAACTCCTGCCTTTATTGCAGAGTTTAATAGTGCATAAATGGGGTTTGTAACTCCTGCCTTTATTGCCGAGGTTAATGGTGCATTAGTGACCAGCCATAAAGGGTGGAGGCTTCTCCTCTCTCCCCTATACATGTATAAATTGAGACCCTCCTGTCAAGTCTTCAACACAGAAATTGTTTCTTCCATTCTTTAGTCAGTTTGTTAGAAAGTTCCTACTGTGAGAGAGTGCTGCCACTGTTTTTGTTCGCTAAGCTAGACAGAGAGTGCTTCTGCCGTAGCTGGTTTTTGACCGTCGTATCCTGGGAGACAGACGTCAGGATTCCTCAAGCACTCGACCCGTGAGACGGCGGAATCTGTTTTAAGGAAACTACTACCGTGCAGGCTTCGGTTTGGTTTCTTTATCATTTTATTGTTTTGTGTATTTCTGTTGAAATTTAGTTGTAATTATCAGTATATGTTTTTGGTATAAAATTTTGATTTCTTCATAAATCTATTTAATTAATTTCACAATTTGAACAACAAAAGACATATGTAAGTAGGTTGGTCCCCTGTTATTTTCTTTTTTAATGGGACAATTGAAGAATTGAATGCCTTGTTTCACAAAGCAAGAGAGATGGGTCTAATTGAAGGTTTTCAGGTTGGTGAAGGATCAACTTTAGTTACTAATCTACAATTTTCAAATGATACAATTATTTTCTGTAAAGATGATATGGACTGTTTTTTTTTTTTTTTGGGTATTTTCTAATCTACAAATTTATGTATAGCCCATAGCCCACTTTGGGACCATCTCTATGATACGAAACGTTCATATGTGTTCTCAAGTAGATCATCCCATACAAAAAGTAGGTTATGTTGGAAATTTTGGTTTTTATAGGCTTATTTTGGGTCAATTTTGAGCCCAATTTTGAGTAGGTCCCAAACGTCTTTTGAGGTGAGTCCGAAGAGGTGACATGTTCCTCACACGGTGAAAACGGTTCATCAAAATCATTTATGAGTGAATAGGAACTTAACGTCGTTTTCGGGTTCGTGGAATGGACATTTAAAGAAGTAAATTGTGAGTTTCCTTGTAAGACTTGTCCTACAATGGAAACTTAAGAGAACTTATGTGTATATATAAATTCTAGGTGACAACACTTGGGTTGGGCCCCAAGTAGCACCCCAAGTTTGTAAAAGAGAGGAGTTATGGACAAATTGAACTTTGGCTCAAACCACCATGCACGCGCCGCCGCCGGTCGTGTTGGGTGCAGATGTGGGTTAGGTCAGTTCTAATATTAATTTTTTGAACAAAATTCATTTGAGTTTTTTCAAAAATTCTTGCTGGAAATTAATTCAAAATTTGCACCAAATTTGAAATCAATTTTACTGTCCATAACAATGCCTTTTTCAGTCCAGTTAAAACTGCAAGCAATTTGGACAGGTTCTAAACGGCTGAACAGATTCAAATCTGGCAGCAGATCTGTCCAGTTTGAATTCTGCACTTGTTCACTTCTTTTTCTACCTGTTCGGGCAAATTGAATGGTTACCAAGTTGCCTATAAATAGGGACTCGTTTCTAGCAGTCAATACATTCGAAAACAATCTGAAAAATTCATTTTTGCAGTCTATTTTGCTTTTCCTTTGCATATTTCTTCATATTATATTTTAGGGAATACTTTGAGAGTATAGAACACATGTTTTGTTCGCTGTATAAATTGTTTGGAGTGCTATTACAATTTGTGTAGATCATTGTATCCTGGGAGATAGATGCCATTTGTCCGTAAGCACCGTAGCTGGGCGAATCTGTCTTGAGGATAGAGTGTCACACACTCGATTTGATCTTTTAATTATTTATTCGGTTTGGTAAATAAATTTCTGTAAGTAATTTATTTTATTTGTTTGATACAGTTTCAAATTATTTATTTTACACAGAAAATTGTTCCAACAATCTTAAGACAGATTCGAATAATTCTGTTTATACAGAATTTTTCGTTTGTTTCCTTTTCTCTTTCTTCTTCTAATAGAAATTATTTTATGTGGTTTTACAAAATAATATTCTGGTTGGAAAAACAAATAATAATAATATACTGTTTGACAGATAGTAGTAATATACTGTCTATTTTATTTAACAACTAGTAGTAATATACTGGTGTCATTAACAATTCAGAATATTTATTTGTGAAGTTTGTCAGAAATTAATTTTAATTTTCATAAATAATTTATGAGTGTTCATTAATTAAAATTCTGTTTTCAGTATTTTAATTTTTAAAGTGTTACAGAAATACTTTTTCGTGTGGAATTAATTTGTTTAAATAAAATTTTATTTTATTTTCAAATTAATTGGAAATAAAAGTTACAATTCTTGTTTCTTTTATTTTTATAGAATTTAATTCTGTGATTTTGGTTTAAATTTTTTGTGTAGTATACAATTCTAATTCTAATTTTGTTTTATAATTTAGAATTCACGTCTACTGAAACTAATGCTCAAATAAGTATTGGTATGGTGGCTACAATTACGCCTACCCCTCCTCCTGTTGTGACTGTGTCAGTCAATCACGGTGAGAAGCTAGAGAAGTTCTCAGGAACTAATTTTAAAAGATGGCAACAGAAAATGCTGTTCTATCTTACAACTCTGAACCTGACTCGTTTTCTCTGTGAGAATGCTCCTATTCTGAACGAGGATGAAACTAACCGGCAAGTAGTTGTTGCAGTCGATGTCTGGAAACATACTAATTTCCTTTGCCGAAACTACATCTTGAGTGACAACACATTATACAACGTCTAATGTCTTATTAAGATAGCAAAGGAACTTTGGGAGTCTTTGGAGAAAAAGTGCAAAACAGAAGATGCTAGCTCAAAAAAAATTGTGGTTGGCAAATTCCTGGACTTTGTGATGGTTGATTCTAAGACTGTGATCATCCAAGTTCAAGATCTCCAACTCATTTTGCATGACATTCATGCAGAAGACATGTCTATCAGTGAATTCTTCCAAGTTGTAGCCTTAATTGAGAAATTACCATAAGACTGAAAGGAATTCAAGAACTACCTCAAACACAAGCGTAAAGAAATGTGTTAAAATCCACCCACTACACCACTACCACCTCACCTACTCCACTAAACCTAACCCACTACACCACTACCACCTCCACTTCACCTACTCCATCTACCACCTACTACCACCTACTCTTCTATATATAGGAATCATTGTAACATTCAATACATCTATCAATAAACATCAATCAATAATACAACAAGCGTAAAGAAATGTCTTTAGAAGAATTGATTGTGCGTTTGAGGATTGAGGAGGACAACCGCAAATTAGAGAAGCGGGCTGGTACTCATCCAATGGAGTCTAAGGCAAATGTGTGGAACATGCTCCAAAAGCAAAGAAACGAAAGTTTTCTAGAGAAAGTTCCGCACAAGGCTCTTAAAAGGGAAAAAAATAAGAAGTACAAGTTTAATGGTAACTGTTACATCTGTGACAAAGAGGGACATCGGGCCAAAGATTGTTGTGGCAAACGCAAAGGCAAAGAAAGATCAAGCAAGAAACCTGCTCAAGTCAATATGACCAAAGTGGATAAAATTTCCAATAGTGTAGATGTCATAAATCTTTCTGTAATTGTTTTCGAGGCAAACTTTGTCGGAAATCCTAAAGAATGATAGGTAGACACTGGTGGTACTCGCCATATTTGTGTCGACAAAAAGATATTCACATCTTATTCTGTAGTGAACAATGGTGAATAACTTTTTATGGACAACTCCTTGACTTTTAAAGTTGAAGGACAAGGAAAGATTATTTTAAAGATGACATCTAGAAAGGAACTCACTCTCAACAATGTGCTGCATTTACTGGACATTAGCAAGAACCTTGTTTCCGAATCTTTGTTGAGTAAAAATGTGTTTAGGCTAGTTTTTGAAAGTAACAAGTTTGTACTTAGCAAAAACGAGGTGTATGTAAGAAAAGGTACGGGATGTATGTAGGAAAAGGTTACATGTTTGATGGCCTTTTCAAAATGAATGTAATGACTGTTTTACCATCTGTTATTAAT